GGGGGTGTTAGACATTGATCTACCAATCTTTAGTCCCGAGCAAGCTCTCAAGCCAGTCCCTTTGCTTCGCAAAGCAAACTCAAGGTAGTCCTTACCAGGCTACCTTTCGTGACATGGTGACACATGGCGCATGGTGTCTAATGGTCTTTGCCAAAAACAATTCATCGTTCCAACAGCAGCTTGCGACTGCGTTGATTGCACCACTCGGTCCGTCGCCTGTTCAGCCGCATCTTCAGTAGCATTTCTGCTTTGGGATTGATGACCTCAAGCCACAAGCTGACAACAAAGCAACACTGAGAATGAAGGGAACAAGTCAACAAGCTAACAAGCACTACAAAAAATGATCGTCATCGGATTGGAATTGGAATCACGATAAACACAATGGCATAGTACTCCCATGTACTCCCGCCCTTCCTCACCAAGGTGCCATTTATCTTTACTGGTCTTTCCAATACTGCTGTGCTCTCCTGCAAATGAAATCGTAGCAGAACAATGGCTATTGCCGACTCTGGTCACTATCAGCAACACGCCCTCAACTTTCGTCCTGGTCTCCAGCCTCGACTTTCGACCGACCTCTCAAGTTTGACCTCGTTCGACTGTTCAGCGACTTGTGTAGTACATACACGAGTCTGTGAAGTACTCATTCGCGAGAAGAACAACACCCGAACAAGTCTGCAGATCTCCAAAAGAGATTTGATGCATCACCTTCACACCAAGCAACATGGGCGTCGCAGAAAGACGCAGAGCTTTGTGGCTTGGCACAAAAGCGTCCAAGGCATTAAAACTTCCTGCACCATTCTGCTCACAGATGCTTCCGGAGAGATCAAGCGAGACAAAAAGAGGGGACAGTGACAGACAGTGGCTTGAAAACGAGGCGAAGCATAAGAATGAGCACGTGGAAGGCTCCTTGCTCGCCCATCAGCTTCAACCCCGGGGAACTCCTGCATCGCAGCAAAAGGCAGATTGAACTCGCATAAGCTGACAAAAACTATGTGGAAAGCCTGCACAACCTGTAGCACTCGCAAGATAAAGAAGCATCTGTGTGTGTGTATGATCCTCGGAATCATTGGAAGCAAATTGAACACAAAGGTTGGGTATTGGTTTGATGCCACATGCAGAAACGTGCGGGATAATGACGTTTGTGCTGCACATCGCACACCGGTTGACTTACGCAAAAAAGTGGGTCACTTACGCACCGATGGCCATAACATCACATCGCGGGTCGGTGGGGGGCGGGAAAATGACGTTCCGGCGGAAGTGCGTTGCAGATGCAACAAGGGTCGCGCAGCACGCAGCAGGCAACACCGTGTCATACATTGCATATTGTAGATATACAGCGTTTGTTCATCTTGCAAAGCAGCATTCCAAACCTGATGACGGTCATAGGGTTCTAGTACCAGAATTGTTGCACGTTCCAGAGTCATCGATGTGACTTATCCAATGGAATCCCCATTTGGCTTACAGGATGACAGGGTCGGATGTGGCGATGGTGTTGTGTTCGGTTTTGCTGTTTCGGTTGTGAGGTGTGCTGAAACCCCCACATAGGCATTTGCAGTGTTTGGGAACCCTCTTTCCTTTGAACCCTTTTTCATCCTTTTTCATTGGCTCCTTGTTGGATGACACCCTGAACTTCGTTGTACAAACATGTGTGATTTCCAACAGTTGTTGGGTCGTGATCACTGGTTTCCGAAAAGAAATCAGAGTATTTGACTCACGAAGGAATGCTGAGTTGCAGATGTATAGAGTATATAGCATGTGTTTGTCTTCTGTGGAGTTGTTTGAAGCGAATGTGACATGGAACATGTTTCTATACAAAAGTTATAGGACCGGACGACCCCACATGTTAACAACTTCACCGGACACGCGGAGTGTTGCTGGTTGGTGGGTGACAATTGGTTGGTGGCAGTTGGTTGGTGGCAGTTTGTGGGTGGAAGTTTGTTGGTGGCAATTGGTTGGTGGCAATTGGTTGGTG